TGTGGGACTGTGTGATCACTGTTAGATGGAGAGATCACTGTGGGACCGTGTGATCACTTTGGGACCGTGTGAATGGTTAGTCTATTTCTAACTTACATTCCTCCTGGTGGGAGTTTGGTGGGGGGTGGGGGTAGTATTTTTGAATCATGAGGCCCCTTCTTTAAAGTTTCCAGCCCAGGGTCAGGTCTAATGTCTCCTCCAACACATGGCACCTGCAACAGTCTGAACTGCGTTGATCTATCAGCCTAGATTCAATCTCGGGTGAACGGTGGAGTTACAGTCACATGATCTGATCCCTATAACTGAAGCCACTGTAGTGAACCCATTCTTATGTCTCTCTGAATGAAGATATTGAGTCAGTGATGGCCTGAGCTGACTCCTGGGCCGTTTCATTGAGAAGTTACCAAACTAATTCCTCAAAGTTCCCTCCGCTGCAATCCTTCAATAGTGTGCCAGCCATTCTGAGCTAAAAGCTTTTTGTGATGTTCGATAAAACTATCCTGAAAGGAAACTTTCCCTGACCTTTTCTCATCTTTCCTACAATCACAGATTGGAAAGGCCCCGGTCCCGAAGCCCTCTCACTCAGTCCCTCAGCCCCAGGGTGGAGTCTCACAGCCCGAGCTTGACATCGTGCCCTTCCTCCCAGCGTTCATCAGTGAGCCCCCGGAGAAACCCCCTGAGCCCCAGGGTGGAGTGGAACAACACAACTGACAGGAAAGGATCACAGGATTACCTCTCTCATAAAAGAAGAGAGAATGAGAAAGCTGAACCCAATGCAAAGATTCATTGTGACCTGCATCGAGAGGGATCTGACAGGTGGGCCTATGACAGAAAACAATATTTAAAATCAACAGGGCAGTCTAGCCCAAAGTCATTGGAGGACAGAGGAGATGGATACCAAGGACATAAAGAAAAATATACCAAATCCAGCCTCCAAAACCTGAGTCCATCCCAGTCCAAGTACAGGGTCCGAAATGAAGAGGATTTTAAGAAAGGACAAAAGCTAAAATCAGGAAGAAGCCTGAGGCCTAGAAGGAAAGATGGTGAGCTGCAACAAAAACCAGGTCTGAGGGCAAATTCAGGCAGTCACCATCAGAGCAATGACAAAGGGGAGTATGATAGCCCGGTCTCACCAGCACACATTGACACAACCCATCTGGCTCTTGAAGAAGCTGAACGGAGGGAACAGAAGGATGGGACATCCAATAGTGAGGTGAGTCCAGGCTCTAGTCCAACATGAGTGATCACATCTATCAGTGGAACCCAGCGCTGGGTGTGTGTAACCTTTGATTTCCAGCAGGCTCTCGATCAGGGGTTTTCAAAGATAAAATATTGTATTTTATTCAAGATCTGTCACAAATCTGAGTTGTCACCAGGTGCTCTACAGCCAATGGAGTTCTTTACAGCCTTGTCACTCAATGCTCAATAGACAATGGGCTAAAAATCCTTAGATCCAGAGGGCTATGATAAGATATAGGGTGTTAGACTGTGGGCTTAACCTTCAGCTTTCCTGTTCCACTGCGGGGTAATGGGCGGAGCTCAGGCACCTTTGTGAGAAAGGCCACAAACAAAAACAGAAATTGCTGTAAAAGCTCAGCAGGTCTGGCAGCATCTGTGCAGAGAAATCAGAGTTAACATTTCAGGTTCAGTGACCCATCCTCAGAACTGTCTTTAACATAATGAAATATCTCAACAACTTCACTGTAGCATTCTCAACTAATGTATCATTAGCTCAGATTGGTCAACGTAGCAGGTTTTAAGCAGTATTTTCAATGAGGAAGGTGAGGGAGAAAACTCAAGAGGGTCAGGGAGAGAATTCCAGCATTTTGGGGCCAGGGTAACTAAGGTGCAGCATTACTTGGAGACACACAAGGGAACAGAATGAGAGAAGTGCAGATATCTTGGACATTGTGGGGCAGAGATTACAAAGGTAGACAAGGGTAAGGCCAAGGCTTGATCTGAAGACCAGGATGAGGGTTTTAAAATCAGGATGTGATTGATCAAGAGTGTTCCATAGCTTCTCAGGCAGGCCTGCTGGATTCAGCAAGGGAGTTATCAATGTACTTACTTTCCTGAATATGTCTCTGCCTTGATTCCCAAAAACTCTGGGAAACTCAGCAATCCACTGTCAAATTCAAAGAGCAGAATAGCAGTAAGAATTGTAAACTTGCAGTATACAAAACACTAGTTGTCCATAAAAATGTGGGTTACCTTATAGTCTCTGTTAAGGAGTTTGGAGGTGAGATTAGATCAGGATTCTGATTTTTAAGATTTTAAACCTTCTCCAACCCAAACCCATCCATGCTGGTCGTTAAAGTTCCAGCTGCTCTGAACCCTAAACAAAGTGTCATAGACATTTACAGAAACTGCAAAAGTCTTTTAACGTTATTCTGAACCTTATAGATACATTGTAAGGTTTTAGATAGATGATTTGAAATGCACTTCCTATTTACAGCATTCACCACTAAAGAGAACACTTTTCTTGGATGTTTTACAAAAACTTTTGCAAATTATGTGTTGATAGAGCAAGGGAAAGGGTAATATTTTTTAACTGTTCAATACACTGCATCCATACACATGACACACTCCTTGATCGATCAAGGTGCCTTTAGATGCAAAAATCAGGATTTGTCTTTCTCTTCCCCACATCCAACTTGAAGACTGTGTTCTTTCCCATTTCCGCAAATGTTCACCAGGCATTGATACTCCCTGTGGCCTGGGAGTACGACAGAAACACTGCAGGCTAGGTTTGTGCAGCTGCCTCACAGCTACCCGACACAACCGTGCACATATTTCTTTCTTGCTCAGTTCAGGGCACGTTACTTCAAAGTCCATCTCATTACAATGGCAGGTTAATGAAGAAGATGGTCAACGTTCTCGGAAACAATCCTCATCATCGCACAGCAGCAGTGGATCACCAGAACGAGAGCTTGAAAGGAACACGAAGGAGCAGGTAGGTCCCAGTGATTTTTCTCTTGGTTAGTCATGTGGGAGGACAATGCAGTGCATAAAGTGTAAGCCATAGGCTGTGGCACTGCCCTGGATAACTCCACAGAGGTCAGTATCCCATCATCAAGTCACCCTTTATTTACACATGAACAGACCATGATTATAGTACTGCCTCATACAGAGTCAGGTGCTAGAGTGCCATTATCTCTGCCACTCACCCTTTTTATATTCAGCCAGAGCCCCCTGATTGGCCTAGATTAACAATCAATCAGGGAACTCATATTCTATGATGTCCAGCTGGCTGACCTTGTTACAAACACTACACTACACATACTACATTGTTGATAAGAGATTGTTTTATGTGTGAGATCATTCCCTTAATCCTCACATTACAGCTACTTTGAGCTCAGCCAAGAAACCCTGCCCAGGTGCCAGGCTGTTTCATACTGAGAGAGTGGTGAGGCCCACCCAGGCTGGCATTGAGCATCACAGGGATGGAGCCCATTAAACAACTTCGGGAGATATTTGACAACAGGTGCTTCCCTGCATTCAGTAAAAACATGAACCAGGAACAGAAAAGGGAGGGCACGGGAAATGAAAAAGAATTGGAAACAAATGGAACTCTTTTAAATAAAAACAAGGAACTGCAGAGGCTGGAGATCTGAAGTAAACAAAAACAGAAAGTGCTGGAGAAATCCAGTAGCAGCATCTGTGGAGAGAGAAACAGAGTGTCCAGTGACCCTTTCGCAGAAGGGTCTTTAAGGAAGAAGCCAGAGGGAGGTGAATCTGTGGAACTCATTGGCACACAGGGCTGTGGAGACCAAGTCATTGAGTGTATTTAAGACGGAGATGGGTAGGCTCTTGATTAATAAGGGGATCGAGGGATATGGGGAGAAGGCAGGAGAATGGGATTGAGAAACATATCAGCCACGATCGAATGGTGAAGCAGACTCAATGGGCTGAATGGCCTAATTCTTCTCCTATATCTTATGGTCTTATTGTATGGCCGTTTAGTGCCAAGAAAATGCAATGATTCATTAGGCACTGGGTAACGTTGAATTTGGGAACTGCATGTGCAGGGAATCATTGCACTGTTGATCAATAATGGATTAGTACTCCTTGGCCTGACTTCTACATTGACATTGATAGCCTTTGACCAAATTCACTCTCTTGCCTAGAGCGAATCTTGGGAAAGTGGAAGTGAAGCAGAAGGAGATGCCTGGTATTCGGGCAACATGGAAGAGTTTGTAACAGTGGACGAGGTGGGAGAAGAAGAAGATCATGTGATGGAGTTACCTGAGACCACAGAGAGTATCTGTAATCAAACAGAAGAGAATGGAAACATGGAAAAGAGTAATGAAGACCCAGTAACAACCAAAGGAATCCCTGACTGTGAACATCGCAGTGACAATCATTGCAGGACTTCACTCGAGGAGCTGCGTCTAATGAGCCCAACTCTGTTTCCAGGCAACCACCAGCTGAAAGTGGAATCTACGAGTCATCCTCAAATTACATCTAGTCCAATGAATGAGACTGAACAGAATCTGAGATCTCATGTTACTCAACCAGAAAGCCCTGTGAATTATAGAAACTGTGAGACAGACCAAGGAATGAGTGACGATGCATCAAGGGGCTATTTGGACCCAGAGAACCGGAGCACAGCTGATCCATCTGAAGAAACTGATGGAAAGTTCCAAGAAGAAAGCTTTTCTGAGAAATTACTGGAAACCCAGGGAGTTGACCAATCAGTGCCAAGTTTCAGGAGAAGCAGTTCGGAAACAGGTGAACTCAAGAAAGAGACTTCGGAAACATTTAATAAAGGTACAGGATTTTCTTTCTCTCTCTCTCTGTTGCTTGTTTTTCTATTATAATGTTCGTGTTCTTAAAGAGATCACTCTTATTTTGATATCAAAACTTGTTCTTTCTCCTTTCATGTAGCAGTGATTTCTAAAATGTGTAGTATTCAATATTTAAGCATGGTAAGTGCTAATGGGGTATGGCAAAGGAAGTATAATGCCAAATTATTGAGCTTTTGATGAATCTCCAAATCGCAGTCTGATTTCCATCTGTGAGGACTAAGATCCAAATACTGGAGTCACAGGCACAGTGAAGGCACACAACCATTGGCTTCAAAGAAAGCTGCAGACAATCTGTGTGGCATGGATTTCCCTTTTCCTGACATCAGGTTTAATTTGGTGCTAAGCACAGGGAATCTCCAAGTGCTCAGCAATAGTGATGTAATCAAGCTGGGTAAGTAGCCAATCATGTTGAAGTATTCCCACAGTCAGTAAACCAGGAAGCAAAAGGTTCTGACCTCCATTCACTCTCAATTAAACATAATGGAAATTGTCATAAATGTATTGGATAAAGTCATGAGATTCAGGTACAAGGTGAAATAGTATTTTAAAACTTTGAAAACAATTATTTTAAAAATGTGTAGATTATTTTAATCATAGTACTGAAAGGTGATGGTCTATAAATGTGAAACTGGTTTTTTTAGGTCAGTAAAGATGTCAGCAGTAATTGTACACTGCAGTGATGGGAACGAGGCTGACCTCACAGACTACAAGGTCATTGATTGGGGTTGTTAACTTGGGGCAACCAGGAAGCCCTGGCTGACCAACATGACCAGGAGGTGAGAATCTCCTCAGTTCCGGGGACTGACTCCGAGCTGGCTGACCACAGGCAGTCTACCATGCACAAGTAAATAAAGAGAGAGTTGGTGACAGGATGTGCAGTTATTTCATACACTTAATACTAGATTAAAATTCTGTTACATCTTAGTCCAAAATATGTAATTTATTCAAAGGGCTTTACACTGAGGAACTTGGGTATTTTTTAGAGATTTGTTTTCATGTCTGGGATGTGTGCATCACTAGCCAGCACCTGCTACACATCCCCAGTTATTCTCAAACTGAGTGCCTTACCAAGCCATTGTGGAGGACGTAAAAAGTCAACCATATTGTTGTTGGTCTGTAGTCATGTGTAGGTCAGACCAAATGCTTAGCACATGTGTGAAATGAGTGTTATTTATCACTTCATTAGCTGTGGAATTGTGAAAATAACCGTGAATTATGCAACTAGCAGTGATTACCCCCACATCTGACCTCAAGGTGGAGGGAAGATCATTGGTGAAGTGTTTGAAGACAGTTGGGCCGAGGACACTATCCTGACATTTTCCTGCAGCAACGTTTGAGACAATTGGTCTCAAGCTGCCACAGCTATCTTTCTGTGTGCTAAGTGTAAGCACAGGCAGTATGCCCCACCCAAGTTCCTTGTGGCTCCTTTGTTAATGAGGCTCCTCAAGTTCACACCTAACTGTGATATCACTGTCACTTCTCCTCCGGAATTCACCTCTTCTGTCAATATTTGGACCAGGGCTGCAATGAAGTCTGAAAGCTGAGCAGTTCTAGTGGATCCCAAACTGAGCATCAGGAAGCAAGTTACTCCTGAGTTATTCCTTGATAGCTTTGTTGCTGGCCCTCTCCATCACTGCTGCTTTGTGAGAGTAGACTGATGGGCTGGTAATTGATGGAACTGGCTTTTTGGACATTGATGCTGGGATAAACAGTACGATAGCCAAATTTGCTAAAATAGGTGGGAAAGTGAGTTGGTGCATTGATTAAACAAGGAATGTATAAATGGATATGGATAGAGTGGTGAATAGTCTAAAATCTGGCAGTTGGACTTTAATGTGGAAAAGTGTGAGGTTATGCATTTTGGTCAGGAGACTAAAAAGGTAATTTATTATCTAAATGGAGAGAAACTTCAGAATACTGTGATGCAGAGGGGTGTCATTGTGCATGCATTGCAGAAAACTAGTATTAGATAATAAGGATCAAAAATGGAATTTTGGCATTTGTTGCTAAAAGAATAGACCATTAAAGTAGTGAAGCATGGTTACAACTGGACAAGATATTAGTGAGACTGGTATTGTGTGCAGTTTTGGTTCTTTTAGCTGAGGGGGATGTAGTTGTATTGGAAGCAGTTCAGAGGAGTTTCACTGGATTGATTCTAGAGATGAGGGGTTTGTCTTATGAAGAGAGATCGTGCAGATTAAGCCAATACTCTCTGGAGTTTAGAAGAATGAGAGGAGATCTATTCGAGGTATACACAATGCTAAAGTTGGTTGACAAAGTAAACGTAGAGAAGATATTTCCTCATGTGGAGCAATCTTGAGTGAGAAATCATAGTTTTAGGATAACGGGCCACAGATTTAAAACAGACAAGAGGGGAAAATACTTCTCTCATGTGAATCTGTGGAGTTCGCTATCCCAGTGTGTAGTGGATGCTGGGACATTGAGTAAATTTAAGGAGCAGACAGAGAGATTTTTAATTAGTAATGGAATGAAGGGTTATGGGGAGTGGGCAGGAAAAGTGGAGTCGAGGCCGAGGTGAGATCAGCCATGATTGTATCAAATGGTAGAACAGGTTTGAGGGGCTGAATGGCCTACTCCTACTGTTAGTTCTTATGTTTTGTTCTTATCAAACCTGAGGAATTCTCCACATTATTGGGTAAATGCCGGTGATGTAGCTATACTAAAACAGCCAGGCTAAGGGTCTGCTGGTTCTGGAAACATGCTGGTCAGGCCCCTTGTTATTCCAAGGTCATGGACTGTGGATGCTTTAATGAGTGGGATTAACATTTGGATTTAACATTCAATTAATCAAATATGACAGCAGAATGATATGTCCAGGATTATAGACCATCGTGACATACAAAGAATCTGATGAGAATTATTTACGGATGATTTCTATCAGAGCTTATGAACTGTAATAGTTTTGTCATTCAAATGGTCATTAATTATAAACATGTCTTTTATAATCTGATTAATTTAGAAAATATTGTTGCTGTTTCCCACCAATTTGATGATCTGATAAATTGAGTATTGTCTGTCCTGATTCTCATTTTTTCTCAGATTCAGAAAACTCGAGCCAGTCCCTCACAGAGTCAGCAGGCAGCCATCAACATTTACCATGGGAACAGGCCAATGTCTTCTGCAATCTTAGTATCCCTTTAGGTAAGGACCAGTACTGCACTCTCAAGATATTTTGCTTTGTCGTGGATTGTTTTCTGATTAACGGATCACTTCAACAATTACCTTTCACACTGTCACTGTCAGCATTGGTTTCAGAAAAATGAATAGATCCATGTCTTTGCTGACACATTGTCCAAGTACAATATTGAAAGGGGAGGGCTATAAAGAGGGCCATGTTTAAGAGATAGGGGAGAAATGAAACTCATAAATCCAAGTTTTCCCATAGATGTGCCTGTCGTCATTGTAATGTGTGGGTGGGTTCAGTGAGGAGATGAAAGGAGTGTAAGATGGAGCTAACCCTGGCATTGATACCTCCGACATTTCAAACCCTGTCCCACTCAGTACATCAGCAGCATCTTCTTACATTCTGACAACATTTGAAATGATGGCATTCCTCATCCTGTAAAAATATGTTCCAGCTCATTGTGTCTGAACCTGTCCTTTCGGAAGAAATGATGATGTGTTGCCTGGTGAGGGATCTTACAGATTTGTGTTTCTGAGTAGATTAACAATTAACAACCTGGATCAACATCTATTTTAACATTTTCCCAAACTATCTATTTCTTTGGGGTCTGTGAATATGTTCAACAATTTATTGTTAATTTGAGTTACTCGGAATAGAGTTACTTGGAATATAGACCATAATACTTCAAAATGGAGCAGAAGTAGGCCATTCAGCCCATTGAGTCTGTTCCAGCATTCAATGAGATCATGGCTGATCTGATAATCGTCAACTCCACTTTTCTGCCTTTACCCAATCACTCATGATTCCTTTCACTGATTAAAACTCTGTCAATGTGCAGCATAGAGACAAGATGCTCAGGCTGAAGAGTCTGTGCTCACATCAATTTCATTGCGTTAAAAAAGGAATGACTCATATTCTCAGTAATTGGTTGGGTCCATTTACTGGGAGACCTTTCGGTAAAAGTTTGGCTCAAGGTATTTTTCATATTGATGGGAATAATGGTGCACTAGTGGGAATGAATTAAGAAAAGCCTTCAATTTGTAGAGCCCCAAGGAGAAAAACATTGAAATGCTGTTATATTTGTGCTTGTGTGTTCCCTATTTCCTGTCAATCCATGGTCTTTTCACAAAAATGTTCTGTAACTGGGGACTCTGATTTTTCAGGGGTTGAGTTTGTGGAAGCTCGAACAGGATTTTACTGCAAGCTCTGTGGCCTGTTTTACATCACGGAGGAAGCAGCTAAAAGCAGCCATTGCCGGAGTACTGTGCATTATAAGAATCTGCAGGTAAGCGAGAACACAATGACCTGGTTTGATTTGTTTATGGGATATGGGCTCATCCCTCATTACAGTGAGAAAGTGATGGTGAGCCAAGTGGTTCTGGAGCTCCTGTGTGCGATGTTGGTTAAGATTTCAGGATTTTGATCCAGTAATGATGAAACACAATTGTATACATCTATTGTCATGGCAGTGCGTGACTTAGAGGGGAATGGGAAGTTGCTTCATCAATGTTGATGCTTTTCTTTTAATTGATGGTGAAGATAACAGAGCTGAGATACTGTTGGAGTATCCTTGCAGTAACCCCGGGGAGATACTGTAGTTCACCTTTGGATAGCTCAGCATCACACAGAATAGTGACATTTATAAAGAGCTAATCCTGCCAGAATCTAATGGAACAGTCTTGAGGGGCTGAATGGCCTCATTTTCACCTTTCTGTTGAACAAAGCATCAATTGGGCACCAATCATTCCCGGTCTGCTAAAGGAGAAATTGGGCAGCAGCGGGAACAGCTGAGGCTGTAATCTCTTGTTGTTGCATTTGGTAATTAAACCTACAGATGGTGACAGAACCTGGCCATCTCACTGTTGGTGAAGATTAGCTTCAGTGAGGGAACCACAGGCTTCATTCAATGACAGAACACATGAACCATCTCTGAGCTGCATTGCTTGGAATACAGGCTCCCCCATGGCAGCACCCACAACCAAAAGGGGCATGGGCAAGGACAGGGACAGGGAAAGGGGCTGGGGCAGGTACAGGGGCACGGACAGGGAGAGGTACAGGGGCAGGAAGAGGGGCAGGGAGAGGGACAGGGAGAGGTACAGGGGCAGGGACAGGGAGAGGGGCTAGGGCAGATACAGGGGCACAGACAGGAAGAGGAGCAGTGGGAGAATTAAGGGTCGGGGAAGGGGCAGCAGGAGGAGCAGGGGCAAGGGAAGGGACAGGGAAAGGGGCTGGGGCAGGTATAGGGGCATGGACAGGGAGAGGTGCAGCCGGAGGAATAGGGGCAAAGGCAGGGGCAGGGAGAAGTGCAGCAGGAGGAGTAGGGGCAAGGGCAGATACAGGGGCAGGAGCAGGGAGAGGGGCAGAGGCAGGGAGAGGAGCAGCGCGAGGAGTAGGGGCAGGAAAAGGGGCAGGGACAGCGGGAGGAGCAGTGGCAAGGGGAGGGGGCAGGGACAGGGAGAGGGGCAGCGGGAGGAGCAGGGGCAGGGAGAGGGGAAGGGTTTAGGAGGGGTGTTGCGAGGAGTTGATCAGGAAAGAGGGGCAATTGAGAGGAGGTGAGAAGATGTTCACGATGCATAGAGGAAAGTGGGAGAAGGAGGAAGTGATTTGAGAGAGAAGTAATGATTGAAAGAGAGAGGGATGTTGCTGAGGAGAGAGATTCAGGTCAATCAGGAGAGGGAGTGGGTAACTGATGAGGAGGGGTCAAGGCGGGAGCAATAGAGATCTTCTGTACCACCATGGAGCACAAATGTTCAAAACCAATATTCTTGGTGCCCTCCAGGGCCCATGTAGTGGTTGCTGGTGAAACTGTGAATCAACCATCGTTTCTTCAACACAACTGGCCTAGCCCCAGCTATATTCAAAGCAGATCAACTTTTCAAAAGGAGTTTGAAAGAAATGTTAATCTGTTGTTTATATGCACAGAATGCTTAATGTCTGTTTTGGACAGGTACTAAAGGTGCCACTCCTTTTAGCTTTAAATTTGTAATTAATATTGTCATTTCCTTTCTGCCCTGGAATGGTCTGGACACTTTCGTGAACAACTCTACAACTGTCACAGCTTCAAGCAATCTCCAGGCCAGAGCATCAGCAACTGTTCCCATCAGCATTAAACAACAGGAAGGAACAGTAATGAGAGTATCCAAATGCTTTACGACCCCACCATCAATTATAATCCCCACCACATCAATATCTTCAGGCTGTTGAAGACCTGTTGGTGGCTTTGTTCATCACCTAATACCCAGCTTATGACTTCTTTAAATAACCCCCTGTATTCTCCAGCAGAGAGAAAGGGGGAGGTACAGATTTACATTTATAAAGTATCATTCACATCTCTCAGAAAGCAGACATTAACTCATGACCTGGAATGAACTGATCTGAAGCATAATTCACTAAACACAGGACTATTTTATCCAAAAGATTTTACACCTAATAATGAGTTGACTGAGGAGTTATCCTGGTTTTAGTAAATTAATGTTGGGAGAATCCTTTGCTCTTCATCCAATATTTCCCTGGAATCTTTGATGTGAACCTGAATTGACAAAATAGGTTGAAAGAAAGGCCCTTACTTTTAGCATTTCTTGTGAATAATGACACCTCTGACAACAGAGCAGTTTCTCATTATTGTATCAAATCAGCATCTGTGGTTATGGCCTGAGGTCCTGGGATGGGACTGAAACTCACAAACAACATATGTCAAGACAAAATAAAGAGTTAAGGACTGTACTGAGCCAAGATTGGCCATGCTGAAAGAACTACCTGAACAGTCAGGCACTAATGAGGCTCTCTAGCTTGGTCCATGCAGACTGTCAACAGGCTAGTACTGCAAAGAGAACACCACAAGAGGCACATTTCTGGAAGGTGATCAACTCCAAGCCTTTGTACAAAAAGAGGAAGTGGTCGATGTTGAAAAACAACGGACTTTCAACATGGCTGCACCAAGTCCTGATGATGAAATTCCTTCCCTAAAAACCATCAAAAACAAACCACTGCTCACTGCAACATTCCTGTTTAAATGTAAACAAACACTGCAGTGGGAAGTGTGATGTGTTGTGTATTTATTGCATAAGGCAGTGAAAATGTACAACATTTAAAGGCAATGGTATATGAGCTTGCGCAGAATCTGACTCTGCTGGATCAGAGGGGAACAGAAAACAGGCAACAGGGAATGGGGACCGGGGAACAGGCAATGGGGAATGGGGAACAGGGAAACGGGGACCAGGGAACGGGGAATGGAGAACAGGGAACGGGGAACGGGGACCGGGGACCGGGGAATGGGGAACGGAGAACGGGGAATGTTGAACGGGGAACGGGGAACGGGGAACGGGGAGTGGGGAACGGGGATTGGGGAACAGGGAACGGGGAATGGGGAACAGGGAACGGGGATTGGGGAATAGGGAACGGGAAATGGGGAACAGGGAATGGGGAATGGGGAATGGGGAATGGGGAATGGGGAACAGGGAACGGGGATTGGGGAATAGGGAACGGGGAATGGGGAACAGGGAACAGGGAACGGGGACCGGGGAACGGGCTGTTGTTCCAGCTGTGGGGGATATTGGTTTCTTCGGTCAGAGGTGGTTGTGAGTGGCAAGACTGCTAATGATTTGAGAGCATCAGTCTGTTACTGTGCAACCCTTGCACACTCGTTACAAAGGTTGAGTCACATTCGCCATGTTCTAATGCAACATGTTACCACCATGAGCCATTGACTTCTCATTCAGAGTCTTGTGGAGTCTATCTCCAAGCACATTCAAACTAAGCACTTGCATCATCAGATGTGAACTGAAGAACATTCTGAGTGGGCCCATTCTCCTGATGGTGCCATTGATTCAGTGGATGCAACTCAAAGAAAGTCTTTTCTCTCAGCCACAGTCAGATATTCTTCAACCAACTCCATTCTCCCACATATATCAGATGTTTGACAAAATCTGAACTTTCCTCCTGCAGTGTCCTGACTTTAATATTCTTATCCTTGTCGACAAATCCATCCATAGCCTTGACTTTCCTTATCTGTGTAATGCCTTCTGACCCCACAACCCTCTGAGAACTCTGTGGGCCTCAAATCCTGGCCTATTGTACATCCCTAGTCAGAATCTCTGCACCATTGCTAGTCAGATATTCCTTGGCCTCAAGTTCTGAAACTCCATCTATGCATCTCTGCCTGTGTACCTCATTTCATCCTTTAAGGTACTCCTGAAAATCAACCTCTTTAACCAAGCTTTTAGTCATCTGATCTAATAGCTCCCTGGTGATTTGGTATCACCATGGTTTATGGCATCTTGGGGCATTTCATTGTTTTAATCGTGCTATTTAAGTACAGGTTGTTGTTACATGAAACAGGATCTTTTTTTAAAAATCATTTGAGAACGCTTGAATTTGGGTGCAATGATCCTCAAATGGGAGCTGGAAACTGAATGACTGAGACACAGGCCCAGCTGCCTCTTGAAGAATCTTGCATAAAAAAGGCACTTTATAAATGTTTTGTTGCACTTTACCATTAGTCAAACCCAGAATGTATTCCTCTCCTAGAGCTAAATCATTCCTCTCACACAAAACTTCACAAACAATAATCTCTTTGATAGTGGCCCAGACCTTCTGATCAGAATTGGAAACCCGATTTCCTGATTGGATAAAGAAATGAGCCATTTCCCTGTAGGGAGACCTACTGTCCCCCACAATCCAGATTCCACCACCAGCAGCAAAGTAGGATGGTGATGACACCACGTGTCTGTCTCACATCCCATTCTATTCCAGAGCCTAAAGTTCCTGAAGACACTTCACTCCGACAGATGTTAAATGTGTAAGGTAACTGACAGAGTAGGGTGGTGAGCTGGTGGTAGGGGCACAGGTGCCTGAACAGGTTGGTGTTTGGGGTGGTAAGGAGGTGAGGGGCTAAAGTGCCAGAGGAGTGAAGGGGTACAGTATCAAATAACTGAGGGGATAGGATGGTAGGTGGGTCAGGTTAAGGTGAGGGGTTGGGTGCCAGGGAAGTGTGTGGGTGTTAAGAGTGAATTGGCTGAAGTTGGTGGGGATTTGGAAGGTGCCAGGTTCTTGGTGCGGGGTGGGGTTTAACTCTTTGATGTGGGATTAGCTGTCAGGTCAGGGGAGGGGTTGGAGGGAGTAAGGAATTCTAGCACACAAGGATTGAGAGGATGCGGACATAGGGCCAGCAGGGGAGGGGGTAGTTTAGGCGTTCCGAGTGAGGTCAATGGGAGTAATCAAAACCTACCAACTCCCACTCAGAGTTGGGACTTCATCAGAGGAATGTCGGGCAACTGACCAATGGAA